AAATGGTAGTCTCTTTCATTAATGGTGTTGGAAAACAGGATTTCCATATGCAAAGGAATGAAACTGGACCCTTAACTTACCACATACACAAAAAATCAATTAAAAATAAATAACATATCTAAATGAAAGATCTGAAACTATAAAAATCCTAGAAGATACTATATGTTAGGGTAATGATGTAAATCTCATTCCACCATCTTTTTTAGGTTTATCAATTTTTTATGTTTTTTTCTATTGGCTTTAACAATGATTTCTGGATATCATACCAAAAGCACAAGCTACAAAAGCAAAAATAAGTAAAGGGGACTACCTTAAACTAAAAATTTTCTGTATAGCAAAGGAAATAATGAAAAAAGAAAAGGCAACATATAGACTAGGAAAAATATTTGCAAACTACATATCTGATAAGAGGTCAGTACCTAAATTTATATTAGAGAACTCTTATAACTCAACACAGAAAGACAAATAGGCTAACTGAAAAAATGGGCAAAGAATCTGAATAGCCATTTCTCCAAAGAAGACTGAAAAATATCCTAAATAAAAAAGTACTCAAAATGTATGATATATGATATGTCAAGATCAACGTAATGTTTTGAGCAACCAATAAATTTCTGATGCTTAAAAAAAATAAAGATGTTGTACCATTTTTAAAAAAGTACTCAAAATAACTATCATCACCAGGCATGGTGGCACACACCTATAATCTCAGCAACTCAGGAGGCTAAAGCAGCAGGATCAAAAATTCAAGTTCAGCCTCAGCAACATAGCAAGGCCTTAAGCAACTTAGTGAGCACCTGTCTCAAAATAAATAATAGAAAGGTCTGGGGATGTGGCTTAGTGGTTAAGTGCCCCTGGATTCATTCCCTGGTACCCGGGACCAAAAAGAAGAAGAATATGAAGAAGAATAAGAAGAATACAAAGAGGAGGAGGAGGAGGAGGAGGAGGAGGAGGAGGGGAAAGGAGTTCAATACCTGGTACCCCCCCCCACCCCACACAACAAAAAAAAGAAAAGAAATTGTGTTATAATCTATGTTTTTATTAAATAAGTAGATTTGAGCTGTTCTTGTCACACACCAAAAGTAACTAACTATATGAGAAGACAAGTGTGTTATTCTGCTTCACTATAGTAAATATTTTGCTATGTATAAGTATTTCAAACTATGTTGTAAACCTCAAACATACACAACAAAAAAATGCTTTATAAAAGAAAAAAAAACATTTCAAAATAAATAAGAAACCTGTTGAGAAAATGACTGAACAAACTGTAGCATCAAAATTTCTCAGAATAAGAGATGCTTCAGCTTCTTTGTTCAAGAGAAAGGATTTAAACACTCTTATGCAATCAGGAATTAAAATGGCTTCTGACTCTTCCATTGAGATATTAGAAACCATAAAGCAAAGATCTTCCGTAAAAGAAAATTATTTTAACTCGGTTTTCTACACCCAGCCATTATTATCAGTCAGGTGTGAGGACTAAGAGAGTTTCAAATATGCACAAGTTCAATATTTTACTTCCTGTGCATCATTTCTTAGGCAACTCCTGCTCCAATAAAATAAGGAAATAAATCAAGAAAGAGGAGAACAATATCCTAGAAACAAAGACAGAGTACTATGCTGAGTTTACAGACCTGAGAGCATCCATTGCATGGTGTGTGGCATGGTGTGTGGCATAGCAGACACTCCCCATGTCCTGTCAGTGTCACTGGGGCCCCTCCACTTCAGCACCCCTGGGCAACCTCCCCTCCTCACTCTTTGCTGTTTTGCCCAGGTTTTTACCAGAACCATGGACAGCTACTCTGACCTCTTACAGAGTCCCGGAAGTAAGGTAATTAACACCGCCCGGAAGACCTCACTTTCCCTGGATGATGGAAGGTATTTATCAATATCACAGATCTTTTGCCCTTTGGATGACATAACTGTCCCATGTCCATATGATACCTCTTTATAGTTTCCCTCATGAGATCTTCTTCTTCTCCCTTCTTCTTCCCCCCTCCTCCTCCTTCTCCTTTTCTTCTTCTTCCCTTCTCTTCCTCCTCCTTCTTCCTCTTCTTCTTCTTCTTCCTCTTCCTCTTCCTCCCCCCTCCTCCTTCTCCTCCTTCTCTTTCTCCTTCTCTTTCTTCTTCTTCCCCCACTTGATTAATCACATATCTGCAAAAATTTTTGAATATACACACAACAATCCACCAAGGATGTCTGAATATATAATCTACTTAAAATATCAATTATCTTGTTACCTCACCTCAAGGAACTCAGTGAGTTTTTTGCATGCAAAAGATAATGATATGGTAATATAAATTACAAATTAGGTTTTCATTCCACTCTTCGAAAAACATTTCTTCTAATGTAAATGAGCACTGAAATACTTAAAGATTACTAAAGATATAAAACCAATTCTATTAGCACTTAAAAAGGAGGTAAAAAAGAAGTTAACATTTAAAAGTTTTATTTAATGAATGAAGACTTTCCTTGGTGAGGTGTGGTGAAAGAAGAGGGAGAAGAGGGGGTGGTCACTCTTGGTGGGAGAAGGTGAGTGAGAATTAGCAAGAGTGAGTGAGGGGAACAGCAACAGATTCCTATCCACATCTAACCCTGATTAACTGGCCAGTGTCCTCTCCTCCAGTCACTGGAAGCAGATAAGGACAAGCACTGCAAGAAGCCACAGACACAGGCACAGTGGATACACATTTCACTGCCTTTGTTTACAACCGTGCAGCTCCTGCTATTGGAAATCTGTGCTGGCAATTCAGTTTTTTGAAAGTAGTATATCTGCCCACCTCCTGGTGAAGCCAATGGTGGTTATTTTTCTGTGCATTCTAAAATTTATTCAAAAATTTTAGTGTAAAATCTCCAGAATCACCTCCTTCCTTGTATTAATGAGCAATAAGATGAACAATTTCCTCCACCATAAATAGTTTCATCCACTCTTGGTTTTTTAAAAATTTTTTTTAGTTGCAGCTGGACACAGTACCTTTATTTATTTAACTTTATGTGGCGCTGAGGATTGAACCCAGGGCCTCACATGTGCTAGGCCAGCACTCTACCACTGAGCCACAACCCCAGCCGCCATTCACTTTTTTATATCATATTTTTGATATATAATGTTCAAAGGGTGAAAATTACACTTCACAAGGCATTTAAACATTGAGAAGAAATGAAGATCCTAATAAGAGAAAGTCTGAAGCCAGGTGTGATGGCGCAGGCCTGTAATCTCAGCAGCTTGGGAGGCTGAGACAGGAGGATAAAGAGTTCAAAGCCAGCCTCAGCAAAAGCAAGGCGCTAAACAACTCAGTGAGACCCTGTCTCTAAGTAAAATACAAAATAGGGCTGGAAATGTGGCTCAGTGGTCAAGGGCCCCTAATTCAATCTCGGGTACTGAGATAAGGAGGAGGTCTGAGGTGCCAAGGAAGCTCATGATACATCCTCTTGCTCAGAAAAAAAAAAAAAAAAAAAAAAAAAGCAAAGATGGGGAATCAAGTTTGTTACAGTAGACTGTTGACTTGCCAGTAAATTTTAATTAAGTTGTTTTGTAGGCCGCTTTGATAAATTTTTTATTTGGGCCCAGAGCACAATGTGAGATGAGAAACTACACAGCTCACTCTACAAAGTGAAGCGATTGTGTCAGGGGAAAGAAAAGGCCTAATGACCCCAGGATCTGACAAGGGAAATGAGATCTGTGCAGGGAGAGCGTGGTGGGCTGGAACAGCATGTCAATCAATAGACCACACAGAGAAGGCGACTGTAGAGGAGGCCCTCTCTGCCCTGCTCCTGTGCCCTTGGCCTACCCTGGAGGTCACTGCATATAGCCATGGGCACCACTGGCTATCAGTGCCTCTGCCTGAGGGTGATCCCTGTCCCCAGAGCCTGCTTTGCTGGTGCACAGTGTGAGTCCCCTGTGCCTGGGGGTCAGGGCTGCTGGAGCAGCTCTTGACCAGTCAGAGAGGGAAACACCCAGGTCCTCAAGATCAGGAGGGCAAGTTGCCATGGATGTACACACTCCCTGAGGACTGACAGCATGACCGAGGCTCTGTTAGCAACAGCAGCAGCCCCCTCCATAGTGGTTTCTTGTTACCTTTCCATGTTTCCCTGCTATCCAGTCACTCAGGTGCTTTCTAGAGCCACCTTCCAAAGAAACTAGTGGCCCACCACTTATTGTCTCAGGAAAACCCAAAGATGAACATCAAAGGCATTCCTGCAGCCTTGTAGGTTGTGGCTCTTAAGATCATGGGTTGATACCTTCCATGGTGGGTGGGATTCTCTAGCCCTTCAAGCCACAACGTCACATCTGAAGTTCAGTGAAGCCTGCGAAACCATGGCCCCCTTTTACTATGCTTGGGGGAATTAAGTCAAAGAGGCTAATGATCTCCAGATTTCTGCATAAAGGAGAGAAGAGACAGCAGGAGGTGCTGGCAAAGGAAGGCAAAAGAGACTTCAGAGGCAGCAAGAGGCCGAGGGAGTCATGCCTGGAAGAAATACAAGTCTCCAGGGTACCCAGAGACGTGAAGGAGGTTGGCACCGGGTTGGGGTTTCTCCTCATGTGTGCAAAGGTTGCTCAAGAATACATTTTAATATTAAGGCAAGTGGTGACCAAATAGAATGGAAGATTTGGGAACAGGAGGTGGCTGACCTGTGGGCTTCACACCTATTTGTCCTTTGGAGTTCCCTCCCTGGGGTGGGAAGAAGGAGGTCAGACCCAGATGCAAATCCCCATTATGGAAGTTGAGATGTGGTGGGAGTGAAAGAGGCGGCGTGAGTTCAAGGAGGTATGACTCTCTAAAGTGGGGAGGAGTAGACAGGGGTTAGGGTGCATTGACATTCAATCTGTGTCCTGGAGGCCTGAGTGATGAGCACATGTGGAACTGTGGAGTCCAGGGTCACCTAGGTGTGACCCCCAATTACATACTTCTTAGGTCTACACAGTAAATAAAAACATTAAGCTATATAATGGGATTGTTTGGGATAATCATTTGTTGGGATCTTAAATGACCACAAAGATGAAGTAGTTCTGATATAAGAATATTTAATTTCTTGAATATTGGTGTCAAAGACATAGTAGGATTGCTAAACTGAAGTGATTCACATTGAACTGACAGGCAGCAAGCCAGTCAGCCATCTTTTTTTCTATTTATTTTGGGAAAATTACAGCGGTGTCTCCAGAACAGATTGTCTTGCTTTGTGTCTCTGTAACTCTAGTAGTTCCGTCTCCAGAGACAGCTTATACATTTCCAGGGCCACTTTCACATCCTCTGGGCTTGGGAGACGCTGCATGAGTTTTCTGCCAGAAAGTACTTGCTCGCAGCCTTCAGGGACCTCCTGAAAGAGACAGAGATGGTGGGCGTGGTAAAGAATCATCTCACCAAACCATGAGGAGGTACATCCTGATGCTCAGAACCAAGACAATCCCTGACTGGTGGTAGAGCAGGGAAAACCAGAAATCGTGTTGGGGCCCACCAAAGTCTTCCCAGAAAACACAGGTACATTCTGAGATTGCTGCCCAGATAAAAGGGGCAGAGGCTATTTCTGCTGACCATCCAGAAGGAGAACAATAGTATATTGTGTGGTCTCTAGAAAGTCCATAGGGTGGAGTCAGTACTCTTGGGTCCATGAGCCCTGCTCTCTATGGGGTTTAGTGTTTCCCATTCTCAAGGACTGGAAAACTTACCACTCCTAAAGGTACTTCAAGGAAAAAACAAAGAGCTTTTTGAATGACTCAGAAAGGAATCCTGAAAAGCCAGATATTAGCATTACTGGCTGGGAGAGAGCTTGGTGGGGACCACCATTTCTATAGTTCGACAGCACAGAATTTTCTTGAATTGTGCCACTTACCCACTCACACTCAGGCACCTCCGGGTGCCAGGTTCTGTTTTGTGAGCAGGTGATCCTTGGGCTACCCACCACTCGAAAGCCAGAGTCACACTGGATGGTGACACTTTCCATTTCAAGAAACTGATTCTTATCCACAGACAGCTTCCCATTTTCAATCTCTGGTTTCAAACAGAGAGCTATAATGGAAACACATTTTTAGGCAATCTGTAAATCTAAGAAAAAAGATATGATAATAACAATGGTCGACAATAATAAGAATGAACTTTGTTTAGGTGCTAATTGTTCTATCTTTTTTCCATTTTTGTAACAATGATATTATTGTTATTAAGCATAGCTACCTATCAGATTCACGTTAAGTACCTTATGTGACTGTCTCATTTAGGTCTCACAATAACCCTATGAAATGAGTACTGTTGTATTTCCATTTTTATCTAGGAGAAAGTTGAGATACAGAGAGGGTAAGAAACTTGCCCTAGGTCATAGAGATTTTTTAATAAAGGGATGGAAGGTAAATAAATGTATTTGACCCCAGGTTCTTAACCATCAAAGTAGCTCTCCCTCACAGCCTGTTTCAAATTTCCCCTCTTGCTTCTTATTCCATGTGCAATGGAGACAATGCTGGCCAATAAGTGATGCCTGCAAAAGTCAGACTTCATCGTGACTCCTCCTGACCCCCAATAACCTGTGAACCAGAAGTCCCTCTCTCACATACACACCTGCATCATAGCAGGTGGTATCCTGTGTATAACTCTGATGGAAATATCTATCGCTTTATGAAATTTGGAATTATTCCAGGAGAGCCTACATTCATGTTTGAACAAGTTTCCTTGAAGATTCTTCTCAGGACCACAGGTACACTCGTGCATAAAAAGTGATGCTTCTGAAATCAGGAAATATATAAGAGAAACCAAGAGCAAGAGCCAACTTTGTTCGAGGTTCAACTTTGTGACTTGGAGAAAAAAGTGGAGGGGAGGCATATTTGTGTAGGTTCTTTGTGCTTTGTGCATGTTGTACCGTATGCATATATTATTTTAAATAAATCAAATCAAATCAAATGTTTTCATAGCTGCCTCTCATACGAAGGACGTTCATCTTGATTGTCTCACGACAGCTCCACCAGAATTTGTCATGGGCTGAGGAGAGAGCTGAGTTACCTTTACACTGAGGGGCTTCCGGTGACCACCGAGAAGAACTGCAGGAGAGTTTTGCTGGTCCAACCAGTCGGTATCCTTTATCACATTCATATGCAATCTCATATTTGAAGAAATTGTATGAAATAACTCGTTTGTGACGTCCGTGGGCAATGCTAGGTGGAAAATTGCAACCTGATGATGAGACATGAAAGTGAGAGAGTGTGAATTTCTAGAATGTGCAAAACAGCACATCCCAGGGTTTGTGTAGTTCCTAGAAGGCTTCACTTTGTCCTTCCAACTTCCCCTCCTATAAGATCACTTGGCCAAACCAGTACACTTGTGCTGCCCTCCTGTGAGCCTCGGCCTGAGGAACTAGCAAGGTTAGAGCTGGGAGCCCTAAGGCTCCCTTTTGTTCAGTTGATTCATGTATTTACCCAACTTCACCTTGTTTAGGAACCATTTTTAGCATGAAGACTGGACTCAGCCCTAAATCATATCCTACCAGGGGCATGGTTAATCTGTTTCAGGATAAAGGTAAAGGTGCTCATCCATGAGAAACTGTAAAGATGTTAAATCAATCCGCAATGCCTGAGTCCTGGTTGCCCAATCAAAGCTGACCATGCACCTCCACCAAGAAGATACTGGCTTTTAAAGGAGAGCTCATAAGAGGAATAAAAATGGCAACCTGCACATTGGAATAGTAAAGAAGACAAGGTGCAGAGCACCTCTCTGAAAGGGACCACTGTCAGGAGCCACAAACACTGCATGAGAAAGCTAAGAAAACAGAGGAATAGGAATGTCAGGTGAAGCACTTTGTAAGATTCCCTCTTAGAGTTGAAACCAAGTAACGATTGTTTCCGAAGTATAAATTTAGTAGAAACAAAAATTTAAAAACATTTTCCAGCACATTAATATTTAGAAAAAGCTTTCCTGGACTTTCTCATAGATACTTCAACCTTAAAGATCACTATTTTTATAGGTGTCTTTTTCCTAGGTTAATTGATTCATCTAGCCGTTGGTCCCAAGTATGTCATCAAATTCCCAAATCTCTACCTGTGCTCATATCTTCTCTCCTACCTAGATGCTGTTCTTCTTTCTTTCTCTGCCCCTCAAGGCCCATTTGTTCTATGAAGGGTTCTCTAACTTCTCCAGTAAACAGTCATTATTTATTTCTCCGAGCTTCTACAACAGTTATTAGGAAGAGATTACATATTGTATCCAACTACTTATTACATCTCATATCCAACTACAGGGAGAACAGGGAATATGTGTCCAGTCTCTGTATATCTTTGTTCTTGACATTGAAGGTCCAAAATAAGTGTGCACCTATGTACCAGTCTCAGGTTCACAAATGGAATTTCCTAAACATCAAATGAAACACATTCAATAGAAAAAGCCTTTTTTTCTGAATTAATACAAAAAATATTTCTGTAATTCATCCACATAAGTCTGTTCAGCACTCAACAAGCCATACCATTGTCATAATGTAAGAAAATAAGAAATGACCACATGAATAGTAAAACCACAATATGGGTCCAAAGACAAAGGTGGCCAGCAAGAAAAGTGGAAGGAAGGAAGGAAGGAAGGAAGGAAGGAAGGAAGGAAGGAAGGAAGAAAGGAAGGAGAAATAATGCACAAAGGGAGAAAAGGATAAGATAACATTTCCTAGTTGAGTATGGAAGTATATTCTGAGGTTTAGATAAAATTGCTTAAATGGGTGAGATATGGCAGGTATTCATGCCAAGGTAGTAGTCTGAGCAAAGGCTTAGAGACCACAGAAAGTTGGTATTGGTGCAAGAAAAGGAAGCAAGCTCAGAAACCAAATGGACCCTAATTTGGGGATAACTTACACTAATTTGGGTTAAGGGCTATGGACCAGGATAAGGTGGCATATTGAGGGAGTGGAAGGGTGAAGGATAAATGCAGAGAAACCTCAAGCATCATGCCACTCTGTGACCTGTTGGATGTATTCTTCCTTCCCTGACTTAGTAAGGAAGAGGAGTGCTGGAAGGTCAAGGGGTTGTGGCTCAGGGAAGACCATGAGGGTTAGACTGGATAAGGGCTTTGGAAGAATAGCAGATTCGGCTGTCTGAATTCCCAAGACAGCAGAATCATCCAGGGTAAAGGAATTATTTTACCTAACCTTAATTTTCCCTTAAAACTAAATTTATTTGGGTGTAAAAATCTTTCAAAGTAAAATACTCTTATGCCATCCTTAGGAAAATAGCTCTGAAGTCACTCTGCGATATTAGAAAAGTTCAAAGTCTGGACAACATAGAATCGTTCTGGGGTCCTAAAAATCCTGACAAATTGTCTCTATGACAAAGAGACACAAAAAGACTCCAAAGGCTTGGCATTTAATTCTTTCATCATCAGAATTGGAGAATACCCTCTATTACTTGAATATGAATGGTAGTCTCCATAGGAACCCACAAAGCTATTGATGCAATATTTTCTTCTCTGTTGGGTGAGTTTGAAATCCAATATAAAATGATCTACTTTAAATGCTGTGATAGATAGCATAAGGGATATGTATGTAAATATTTTTAATATGCTTAATAATTTTTCTCTTAAAAAGAAATATCAGAAAAATAAGAAATACTACTTTTTCTTACCATACTTCTGTTTATAAATAAAAACAATTACATGTATTTATAACCATTTCTATCCTAGTGGGACCCGTAGGTCCTCACAAGCCCTTTCAGTATTTATCAGTTAGGGACAATTCTTCTCTAAATTATAACTCAATACCCCACACTTAAACAATATAATCAGTTTATGCAATGCCTTGTAATTTTACTCTAGTAAATGAACTCATTATTTATAATAACTTAAAATTTTACTTTCTCAATGATGAATATGTTCTGCACAATCCTTAATGCAAAAGAAGTAGAGCCTACAGAAAAATTAACTTCTATATTTATGAGTATTCATTTAAATATCATACGCTTACACAAAAATTAATTTTTTTCTGCTAGATCATTTCCTCAAGGATTTGTAAGCTTTTCAAGTAATTATAGCCCATATTGAAAGGAATAAAACTATTTAAATGCATTTCTTGATAATGTACTTCATTGTCTTTATCCAAAATTGTACTGATTTAGAGCCATTTGGTTAATTCTTAATCAGAATTCTCTGGATATTGATTTAAACTATCTGCTCTTTCTCACAGTTCTGTACTCACCACACAGGACAGGTGGGCACCACAATAGAGACAGGACCCCAGGGAGCCATAGTGCTGAAAAAATTCTCTGGAATTTAGAGGGCATTATACAGAAACTCAGAGGCAGAGCACCGGGGCTCAGAGTTCTCAGATGCCCTGAATCAGGCTAAAGTTGAAGCTCTAAACCACTAGCACACTGGCGCCTGAGTCAAGGAACTAAGTCCTGGCAAGGTCACAATAGTGAGTCACTGAAGAGGAGGGGCAGAATTGAGAAGACCAGGTACAAGACGGAACCCGATCCAAGCCATCCAATAAACCCGAGGGAGAATACTGTGAATTCCACTTGAGGGCTCTCTGGGATTCTGTAGCAATTTATACTCACACCCCCAAGATTTTCTCCCCTGGCAATATGAGCACTCACTGAGTTGTTATTTCCACATGTACCTCATTTCTCTCCAGGTAGTCGAGGCAGGGTGGGTGAGGCAGGTTCCTCAGGGAGGAGGCTGAGATGCTGAGGGAGACATGTTCTGCACCATTTCCTGTAGGTGTCAGCTCTTCAGTTGTGTGTGAATTCCCAGTAGGAAAATGGGATAGGAAAAGGTTCATAGCTAAGTGTGGCCCCTAAACATTTCACAGCCTAATTAGATTAGAGAATGCACACAAATTTAAAATTATGAAAAGGCAGAAGTTCAGTAAAAACAATTATTCTCTCAATAGGTATGTGTTTCCTGAAGTACTTATTGCACCAAATTAATCAGCCTAGTTGGAAGGTAAAGGGAAATTTCTGAGAGTCAGATAAAGCATGCATGGAAAAGTAAAGAGGTGGAGTATGGGGCATAATTAATGGAGAAAGTTTCATGACAATTTTAAGAAATTTTCAGTAGTGCTGGGTCAGAGGGAAGAACCTTCCATACCAGACTTATTCTTCTGGTAAAAGCATGAAGAGAGTTGTAGAAGACATATTTGTTAACCCCAAGTCTTAGTTCATTAATAACAATTTGTGTTAAAGCTGGTCTACTAAAGAGCTACCTGGGTCTTATGCCCAGATTATTTTAGTCGCCATGAAGCAGGAGAGGGAGTTATCAACCTGCACTTCATGTTTTGCTCTTTAAACATGCTATAGATATTAGTTATTTGGAAATACACAGATATTTATCCTGAGATGATAGTGAACACTAGAAAATGTCCGACAATGACCTTGACACCAAGTTGACCTGTCATGAGTGCAAAAGGGATGTAACAACCAAATGCTTAGCTCTCAGAAATAAAGAGGAACATTCCCCATAAGTAAATGACTGGACTCCTCAGGAATATTGGTGACCGTGCAAATAAATTTCAAACTGTCTAGAGAGAAAGAAAAGCAATTAAACACATCATGTGGTCCCTTCGTTTTATAAGGAAGAACTAAAATAAATAAGAGTATGTCAGAGAAAAAAAATGACATCTAAATAATTGTACAGAAAATCATTTTAAAAACATAACTCTTGCTTATTAATCATGTTCTAAACTTACTAAATTATTGCACTTAATTTCTTAAAACATTATAGCATCGGAATTACTAGTCACATTTTACAGATGAGGAAACTAATTCAGAATGACTAAGTACACTTCCTAATATCTTTTTCATCAATGGCTAGGTCAGATTCTAAGTCTGGATCAAGTCCTAAATTATTTCCAGTATGAAAAACTGGTTTTCACTGAATCAGACTACAAAGGTTTCTTTTATGTGACCCTGAGCCCGTCACTTACGAGAGTATATTCCTAGGAACATTCTGCTTCTAGTATGATGGGAAAGACTGTAGACTGTCTGCTCTATCAGGAAACCCAAACCACATAACATCTATCAGGAACCGTGTGGCTTAACCAGCAGTCCCAATAACTCAGGCCCTAGTATCCCCATAAATTAAAGAGGGGTTTGAGACTACAATGATCGTTATGACATATTTACTTCAGAAATTCCTGCTCTGATACTTGAGTTGGAAACCTCCACAAAAAGAAATAATAATAATAATAATAATAGGGGTTTTTTTCTTAAAGTGCAGAAGGACAGGAATGGGGTTAAGATCTTGAGGGATGAAATGCTCTTCCAATAGCCCAACTCACCATAAAGGATCATATCAGGACTCATCTAAGTGAGCAAAGGATATCAATGGAAAAGTTGCTGCTATTTGCTCTAGTCTGCCATAAAGCAGCTCTTGAAATGACTTGAATTCAAGAAATTTATCTGAGAGGTAATCCCACAATGCACCATTAAAAGAAAAGGGGTGAAAAAATGGAAGAGCAGAAAAATGAATGCGGTTTGGTAAGTTGCCTTTGCAGGAACTTATTGCTCAGGTAACTTCAGGCAGAGAGTGTAGAACATGCGACAGAGATATCTTTCCTGCTGGAAAAAAAGAGCAGGCATTTTAATCTACTGAAATCCATTATGGCATCACATCCAAGGAGTCTGGTCAATCAGCTGATATCATGGTAGAGAGTGATTTGCCTTTGTAGAAGGAGGTTTTAGTCTGGATTTGGACTTACATCCTTGAGGCCAGGCTTCTTCCAGACATGCCATCTGTCTGGAAGAAGGCTTACTAAATGCCTGTTCCCTGTCATGGTAGAACACACAGCATTGCCTTTGATCAAGAAATTCACTCGACAAAAGCAAAAAGAAAGTCAATGGACAGGTGTTCAGGAGCTTCACTGTCTTACCTGCTATCCCATACCACAGAAGGAACTGACCTTAGAAGACAGTGGATGGCCTATTGAATGGCCAGGCAACTGAGAAAGGATACCATGTGGACTGGAGTTTCAACCCATATAGACACTATATCTTCTAAAATAGCAGCTGGTAGTAGGAGATTCCTGAAGTGGCCCAACTAGTGGGAACAAGGGCAGATGTCACATAAAGATGGAGATGGCTGTGGAGCCCTGGGGACTCTAGTCCACAGTTTGTGGAGTTTTCCAACTCAGGTATCAGACCTGCTAGTGAGTCAGCCCATCTCTAGAAGATTCCAGTCCCCAGTTTTGATAACACTGCAGATGATGCTGAGTAGAGCAAAGTCATCACCCACCAGACGCTGCTCAAGTTTCATTTATGAATAAAGTAGTACTGTTACTATTTTAAGTTGTAGGTTTGGGATTTATTATACAGCAACAAATAACATGAAAGCATTCTCTCCATGACCTGAAAAATGTTTTTGAACAATAGATGCAGAAGAAGCATTTGATAAATCTCAACACACGTTCATGAGAAAAGAAAAATCCTTTGAAAATTATAAATGGAAGGGAACTTCTGCAATCTTATTAAGAGTTTCTACAAAGTACCTATGATTGACATCCTACATAAAGGTAAACGAGTAAAAGATTTCCTCATGAGATCAATAATAAGATAAGGGCTGCTGTGATCACCAATTCTATTTCATATGGAACTGTAGGTTCTATCCATGGGAATAGAGTACCAATTGATAGGGAGAGATAGATAAACAGACAGACAGACACATAGAAAGAAAGAGAAATGAAGGGCAGAAATGGATTCTTGGTTGGCACCCATTTTCTTTCAGAGCTTGATATATGTTTTTCCAGGATCTTCTAGCTTTCAGGGTCTGTTTGAAAAATCTGCACATGACCTAATTGGTTTCCTCCTCTCTCATGGTTTTTAATATTCTCTCCTTATTCTGTATGTTAAGCATTTCATTATAATGTGCCTTGGTGTGGATCTGTTTTTGTATATTTGGTGTCCTGTAAGCCATTGAAATTTGGTTTTCCAATTCATTCTTGATGTTTGGAAATTTTCCTGATATTATTTCATTGAATAGATTGTCCATTCCTTTGGTTTGGAATCTATGTCTTCCTCTATCCCAATAGCTCTTAAATTTGGTCTTTTTATGCTATCCCATAATTCTGGAATATTCTGCTCATGGTTTCTTACCATCTTCACTGTGTGATCCACATTCTTTTCAAGATTATATACTTTGTCTTCATTGTCTAAGATCCTGTCTTCCAAGTGGTCTAATCTATTGGTGATGCTTTCAATTGAACTTTTAATTTGGTTTATTGTTTCTTTCATTTCAAGGATTTCTGGGGTTTCTTTTTAGAGCCCCTATCTCCCTATTGAAGCAATCTTTTGCTTTCTTTATTTGTTTATGTAACTCTTTGTCGAATGATCTTTTGCTGCCTGTGTTTGCTCTCTTATATTATCCTTTAATTCACAGATCATTTTAATTATGTACATCCTTTTCTATCACTTCTGCTGTGTTGGCCATGGATTCTAATAATGTGGTATCTTGATTTGTTTGGGGCACTTTTCTCCCTTGTCTTTTCTGCCCTTCTAGCACTGTGGATCCAAGGTTACTATTTTTACCCTAGAGACTTATAGTGTCCCTGTAGATTTCCAATACCTCTCCTTTGAGGTATAGGACAATGTTAACAGATCCAAATATAAACAATATACAACCTTAAAAACAATTATTTGCAATTAATATGTTTACAGTTTGGTCACCATGTACAGAAATGGTGAATTTAATTATTACCTATAATATACTCAGTAGGTTTATAAAAGGGTTTTCAGTTTCTGATGGTGGATGAAGAACTGGGGGTGAGATGTGGGATGATATGCTGAGGAGGTAGGAGGTGAGGACATAGAGTTATTATATCCCTGGAAGTGTGGAAGAAAAAATCTAAAGAAAAAGGTTAATAGCGGGAGAATAGACAGGAAGTAATTTTGGGTAGACAAGTAAGTGGGAAGACAGTAGAGTACATAAAACAAACACACATATATCTTAAAAAAATAAAAAATGTTATAATAGTAAAAATTGGAGGAAAAAAAAGAATATACAACACAACTGTCATAGACTATTCAGACGTCCCAAACCTCAAAATTCTAATTCACACAAAGTACTTGGTTCCACATGCGTTGGAAATGTGAGGGTGGGAGAAAAGGAAGAAGGGGGAAAAAAATCTCCAAGAAAGAAACAAGGATTGTTTTGGCTGGAGATCAGTATCTTTCCTGCTTCCCTTCTCATCCAGTACGTGGGGTCCTCTGTTGTTAGCTGCTATCTCTGCCCTCAGGATGGTGAGGGTAACCAGGATGTCACTGTGCCAGGTTGGTGGCTGCTGGGGAGAAGAGGGAGTTAGAAACTGGGTACCTGGCCAGCCAGAGTTCCAAACTGGGAGTGGCCCCCACCAAAGATGGTGATGAAAGTGGCCCCAAATGTAGGTGGCTG